TTCATGGCCTTAAAGTTTGGAGAACAAAGTTTATAAAATGGAAAAAGATTGTTCTAGTGAAAGCAGAGAAGACATTTGAATATTATATAAATCTAATCTTTAATATAAGTACTTAAATGTATAATTGGGATTCATGCAGTAAAAGAAGGTGACTTCAAAATTCCACAGTTATAAAACTGGTGGTTTTGAAGCACCTTTCTTTTTGTTATGATGTATCAACATAGATTTTCATTATTTATGCTTCTTTCATTTGCTTTAATCCAAACTAATAGGAAAAGATTTGAAAAGAGGAGCTTAATAGTCAGTTTTATTGATAATTCAACAAATATTTGAACCATTATTAAAATACTATATATATGTACCATAAATTTATTTTTAAATAAGTCCATTTTTATTAAACTATGACTTTATATGACTTCAATCCATTTATAACAAGAAAACTTTAATTCTGGTATCCTTATATAATACTTCTTATTTAATAAAGCTTAGAGAAATAGGTACTGGCAGAATTTATGCAAAATAACTTTTAGAGAATTTACTATTTTTTAGTATTTGATTCTGTTAGATTTCAAAATGCCTTCCCTGAATTCATCTTTGGTGTTACTGTTTTTAATGACCATTTTATATAAAATAGGAATTGTAACCCGCCTGACCTTTTTACCCTTTTCATTTCACAGAGATGTTAAATTCCAGTGAAATCACATACTGTTCGAAGTGACTCACAGGAAGCCATCTTTTCAAAAAATATGACAGAAAGTCTTGTAATAACATTTCCTGAGTACAATCTAGGGAGCTTTCAGTGGGACCACATGAAGTCATAGAAGCAGAGCCTCCTATAAAAAGTGAAAATATTAATAAATACAATATTTCTCTCTCATCAAATAAAAGCTCACCACAAAGAAGTACCTCACAACCTACAGAGAAAATGTTTAATAGCTTAAAGCAATTCAAGGAAAACATTAAAAGTTACACTATTTTTATAATAAGGGTAAGGTTAGGTCTGAAGAAACTCAACATAAGTCACTTATCAGTGTTTAAAATAAAACTCATGTTTAGTACACATCAGTTGCTGACCATTTATCTTATGCTTTAAAGAAATTCTCCATTAAAACACTGTATTTCTTCCTTAAAAGTTTCGTGATAGGTTTCTAGCCATTTCTGTTTATTGCTACACAGAAGAGAATGTCTGGACAGGTGATTTACTTAAATAAATGGCTGCTAAATGAGAATGAACTTTGACTCATTTAAATTAACTTCAATATTTATTGTTACAAGCTTGACAATGCTCTTGGAAATGATTAAGCATGACCTCTAGAATAAATGAATTTAATAAAAAGGACTAAAAAGTAACACAGCATTCTATTTGAGTCCACCATTATTTTAAAATCAGAAGTCCATAAAAGGTTCAACATGCAGTACCAGAGTAAAATTTGATTAAAAAAAAAAACAATCTCAGTCCTTTAGATAATTTTACTGAGAGAAATTCAATGTGACATACCCTGAAAATGACTAGAATGACTACCCCAAAGAGAACAAAGTAGTTGAGTCTTATTTGTAAATTTTGTAAAATAGGAAGTAATTCTGTCTTCATATATGACTTCTTCCATGGACAAGATTTATCACCTATGGGGAAAAAACAAACAAATACTACCTGTTTACAATCATTGTTTAGTTTGGAAATTATTTGGTTCAGCCTACAAATTAAATTATAAGCTTAAGAGTAGCATAGAGGGAGATCGTGAATAACATCGCAGCTAACGTTTAATCTCAGTACCACAATATATAATTTTTTTAAGCAAGAAGGAAATTCAGTAAGATAACTTTGACTTCCTTTCTGTTGTAGGATATTTTTCCACTAGTGCTTCTAATGACTGGTTCACAGGAGAATGAGGCCTTTCAGACCTATGGTTCAAAACCATAAGCTTAAAGGAGATTTCAATTTATTTACTGATTCCACACACATCTTTTTGCTAGTTTCAAGAACACCTTTTCTGGTATTAATATTAACCTCCATCGTTTTAGCTCAAAATGTTATTATCATAAGAAAAAAAATGATGGCTCTGATACAAATCCCCCTGGGGGGGTATTTTTACATGGAATGATTTCCTGCTGCTGTATCTGTGTTTGCTTCATCCTGTAACTAGACATGTACACTCCTCATGGGCAAAGTCCCTGTCCACTACACACCCTCCATACTCTGGAGCCCTAATTAAACGCTACGTACTCAGAAGGTGCCCGAGACGTGCTCCTGGAGCTGAGTCCTCGTAAGACAGTGCTGTTAAAACAGGACAGTGTCCTCTGCTTGACCTCCAGCTTTCTACATGAATAGATGCGAAAAGATGTAGCTCTGTGTGCAAGTGTATTTTTCACATGGTGACTAATGCTTAATATAATCTATACTCAGCCAAACTACAGGAAAGTAAAGATGATATCAGCAACCAACCCTGCATGACAGCCTATCTGTCCTTTATGACTATTTTCAATACTATTTACCAAAGGAAAACAGGTTTTCAAAAAGCCATTCCCTTTGTTAAGAATGCAAGAGAATTTACAGATCCTGTATAATCACAAACTGTGCAGGTTTCGAATACACGGTATATTTGGCAGTGACATTAGAGGGTGTTTGTGCTCAGCCACACTGAACAACCTGAACATCTACAATGTGCCTCATGTTCTCTCCAGAATCCAGGACCCTTAACCCAGCTGTTCCGACTGCCAGGAACCTGGCCTTTCCCATTTCCTACCACCCCTCCCTTCAACTTCTACACATTCTTCAGCACCAGCTGAAATTTCATTTCCTCCAAGAAGTTTCCCCGGATGCCTAGTAAATGAAGCTAGGTCTCCTAGCACCTCCTCCTCACACAGTGTAATAATTATCGCCCTGTGTCTTAACTGCCCATTTGCTTGCAGGTCTCCAGCCGTAAACTGTCAGCTCTGGATTGCTGGGCTGTGTCTTGGTCCCCACTGTGCCCAAGTGCCTGGGACGGTAGGTAGGCAACTCATAGGTAACTACTGCTGAATTGCAATGTAAATTGGGGTTATGAGACAAGGGAAGCAGTTTGTGCCAAAGGAATCTTTTTAAAGATAACACATTTTTTCAGAAATAAGGGTATTTTGGAAATGCATCTATATTTAGGGGCGTGTGTGTGTGCCCACGTGTGTTGGGAAGCATAAAAGCTGCAAGAAAAGGAGAGGAAAGGGAGTGTTTGAAATGAATCTCAGTCCTGAGGGGAACCAAAACTTTGCCACCCCAAAACATGCCTTTTGGGATATTGATTTTAAAGCTGGTTAGGAAGTAGCAAGACTCAGACAGAATCTTGGACCCCCTCCCCCTTAAATGCCTAAAGGAATTCAGACAGAAAAACCTGCTTAGCAGAGGGGAGCATCACCTTAGCATCCTAAGGTAAACTACACGGGGCAAACAAGGAGAAATCTAGCCAAGCCTGCTTATTGAACTTTCCTCTCTCTGTGCCCCATTGTTTCTGGGTGGCCCAGCGAGAATCTGTTGACTACATGTTTGCTCTTTCTCATCTATCTGTAAATTACCTGCTTCCCCTTTGAAATCCCGGATCCCCACCCCCTTCTCCTTTGTCTAAAATGTCATATAAACCTTGAATGCCCCACGCAGCTCTGGGTCTTGTATTCTTATGACACCCCACATGTACACCCATAATAAATTTTGGACATTTTTTCCTGTTTACCTGTCTGTTAATTTGATTATTAGTCCAGCCAGAAGAACTTAGAAAGGTGGGAGGAAAAGTATTTTTTGTGCCCCTACAGTCTTCTGTTCAGGGCTGTGTTCCTGTGACAGAGTGAAATGCCCAGTCTCTCTGACTCCATGTTGTTCAAGCCTGCTTTGTTCCCATGGCCTTCAGGCTAATAGCTTCTGCTTAGTCTTGCATATAGACATGCTAATCATTAGCCAAATTCTGCTTGCCGCTTGAGGAGATAAGGGAAGTCTGTGTTGTTTATCAAAGATTTGCAGGTACCTTGTGACAAAACTCACATCAACTAGCACAGTCTTCCTCAGCTCATTGCTGGCACATTTTGCCCCTCCCATTTCCTCATTTCTTAACAACAAAAAAAAGAAGCCTCAACTCTGCATTTTCTTAGGATGGATATGAGGAACCTCTAGGACTCACATCTTCTCCATTGGCATTACTCGGTCGATAAACCTTTCCCTACCCTGAACTCGGATGTTTTGAGTTTTGGCCTTTCTAAGTATAAGGCACACAGACTTTGGAGCAGTGACACTCCCTGACGTAGCATTTCATTCTGCGGTTACACCATCAACTATCTTTGTAGAATTCCTGCCTTCCTCACTAGAGTGTAGACACATAAGGTAGGGATTATGTTTTTTTCCACCATTGTCTGTAGTGCCTTAGCAGATTAGGCTGAGGGCAATTGGAAAAGGGAGATTTAACAAGTGATACTTTTATCACCCCAATTTCACTATTTGATTGCTACTTTAACAACAAAATGTACCACAAAAAGCTGTATATTTTCACATCCTCAAGAGTAGAAGTTTGGAATTATGTAGGAAGAAATCAGGATGAGAGCTCTGTTTTTAGGGCAATTACAAAAATTTAGGCCATTTACTTGGCATGATTTCTTGAAAATAACGTATACAGCAGCTTCATGATAATATTGGGTAAGTTAGGGCAATTAGATGAGATAAATGAGATAACGTAGGTCGTGAGCTTTACATAATGTCTAAAACATAGTTGGCACTCAGCAAAAGTTCAGTCCTCCCGCCTGCTTATTTACTTGTCATGTAGCTTACCACCTCGGCAGCATTACTGTGGGCTCCAAGTCATGTAAATTCAATGCCAAACTAGGATTCCACACCAAGAGTTTTCAAAATGTGGTAATCCAGGAACTTTTAGCCATGCAAATTCTTGGGCCCACCCCAGACCTACTGAATCAGAAACTTTCTGGGTGGGGCCCAGCCATCTGTGTTTAAACAAGTTTTCCATGAGACTCCACAGTATAAGTTTGAACAGCCCTGCTCCACACTGGTGGAGGAGACATCCACTTAGAGGAGGAAAATAATCTGGAGGGAGCCTGCAAGGTAGGGAATAACTACCTCACCCATTTCTTGCTATTAGAAGTGTGAACCCTGGGCCAGCATCATCATACTGCCTGGGAGCTTAGTAGAAATGCTGGGTTTCAGGCCCTGGCCCGGACCTACTGAGTCAGAAACTGCCTTTTAACAAGATCCTCAGGTGATCTATATGCACATTAAGTATGAGAAGCACTGATCTAGTGAGTATTTTGAGTTGCAGAAGGTGGACTGTGGGAAGGAAAAGAAACACAAAACAAGTAAAAATTATACACAAAAAAACTAAAATCTCCAATCTCTCTCATATGGAAGGGTTTTGCAGGAAGTAACTGGTGTTCTATCACATACAATTTCTCTAATTGTCTGTTGTATGTCAGATATTTGATGTGTGGGTGGGGGAACCCCACAGCATTTTACCTAAGAGCAAGCAGGCTACATTTTAAAGCTCAAGGCAGGTAGAACAGACTTGTGTGTTTGTAGCTGGTGCACATAAACACCACGAGGCAATTTTTAAATTCTTCAGCCTTTGTCCCACATTCGCGTCCATACGTGCACATTTTTCACATATTTAACAAGTAATACTTTTATTACCACAATTTCACTATCGACTGCTTCTTTAACAACAAAGATGCATCACAAACAAAAATGAATGAAGCTGTCTGAGGAGAAAATTCCATAGTAGCGTTACTGTCAACGCCCATCATAAACAACCATGACATCACAGCGGCCTTATCTACGGGTTGCCACTACTGATCGATGGCATCACTCCAGAAGTGTAAATAGCTTCTAATGTCCCATCTTCTACCGTCAAATAGGTTCTGATTATTTATGATAGCTGTTAGGTTACAAGTCTGAGCTGTGGTTTGGATTTATTTTCTACTTATAGCTGCTGTGGATTTCAAGTTAGATAGGATTATTTTTTAGTTAAGATGATGAACTGAGATAGAACTGTCATCGAGCCAGGCACGCCATCATCTCGTCTGGTGGGTGTCACCGTTTGAGTATGAATTTACAGTGCCAGAATGCATTCTGTATTATCATTGTCAACCACAAAATTTAAAAGATAGCAGTTAGTCACTGGTTGTTACAGCATGAAAAGAAAAAAAAATAGTACCCTATATAGCTTTCTATACAATTAAAATGTTTTAACATTTCAGTTAGCCTTTTGTGACTAAATAGTGAAAGGGCCTATCATCTGTATGGCATGTATTTTATGATAATGGAAGTGTTTCAACTTGAATGTGAAAGCTAGAGATGATTTAGGAGGTAAAAGGAAATTCATCACCTCTTGTGCAAGGTATTCTTTATAATCATAAAAGAGAATGACAGGTAACCTGGTCAAGAATACATTTTTGCACAGAGGAATAGATATGAACTGTGTGAACCAGACAGGTGAACTTTAAGAATTTGTCAACTATCCCGATATTTTGTCAATATAATAACAAATACCTGAATTATTTTGAACATTAGATAGACATGGTAAGTTATTAAAAATGTGTCCTGGCTGATGTAGCTCAGTGGATTGAGCGCGGGCTGCAAACCAAAGCATCACAGGTTCGATTCCCAGGCAGGGCACATGCCTGGGTTGAAGGCCACAGCCCCCAGCAACCGCACATTGATGTTTCTCTCTCTCTCTTTCTCCCTCCCTTCCCTCTCTAAAAATAAATAAATAAATAAAGTTTATGAACTTGGTCAGAATCATAAACTTAATTTTTCACTTTTTCAGACTTTTTGTAAGCATTGTATAAATAAAGCATTTTTCTTCTGAATTCCCAACTTTATTGGGATTATACCAATTCATTATTCAAATTCATTTTGCTTTAAGTCATTCTTTCTCACTGAGATAACTGTGCTAAAAATGTAAATTCTCAAAAAACAAGGGAAAGTTTTTACCATGCAAAATAGGGTGTGGTTACTTTACTATCCTATAGCTATATTTTATATATATTTTTAACCTAATTTTAAAAAAAGAAATTCTATAGTTATGAGTCTACTTAAAAATCTTAGGTTTCAATATTTATTCTGTCATATCTTATGATTTATCAGTTAACCAAACTTCTAATGAAATACGCATAATATTTAAACATCTGTTACAACAAAATTATATGTTCTATTTAATTTTGGATTATTTTGCATGATTTTTAATTAGACTTAAAATAACTGCTATATTTGGCATTTTAAAATGGTTTTTGATCTCTATAAAAATAACTGGAAAACAGTTTGCCCCTCACATTTCATAAACATATATATAGTTAGAACATGTCTAAACTAAAACATTACAAAGTAAAAACTTACTTGAAAATGACTAACTCTACCAAATTTTGAAATTATTACTGTAGTGAGCTCTCTTTTCATATCATTATAACCTGATCAGCTATACATGCCTTGAATACAGTCATTTTGAGGAACACTGTACATCTTTGAATATTTTTTAATGGAAAGACATGCATACTTAGTGGTGATAAAGCAACTGCTTCATGACACATAAAATGAAAACAGAGGGTTCCCCCAGTTACCATTGCCCTCATATGAATAGTGTGGTAATTATTTAACACTAGCCTGTTTTGCTTTCTAATGGTTACTATTTAACGTTTCTACCCAATATGCTTTGCACTGCTAAAAGTCTTAAGTAAACCGAAAATCAGCAGTGAGAAAGCGGGAATGTGGCTGCTAGGAGCTGACAATAGCTGTTTTGTCACGTCTAGGCCCTGGTACTCACTCAGGAAGTGGGGATTCATCCAGCCAGCTGATGCCAGGGGAGGATGATTTATTGCCTGGTGTCCTCAGTGGCAATTGGACCCTTTCCCACTGTCACTCACAACTTGCAAAGATTGTGTCCTAAAGAAGAGGTTCCCCTTCGTTCTAAAGAAATTACAATGCTTGTCATAAAATGTCTTTTAGCAGAGGGAAACGGGTATGAAAATGGGCAAAGAAAGGAAACAATCAGAAGAGGAGAGAAGATGGATGTTCTGTAACCTTTTCTCAGAGACCCATTTCTTCTACTTTTTCTCCTGTCTGTAGCGGGGTTTTGTTTTGCCTGATGACAATGCGTAATAGCCTGATAAATTGATTTTATGAGTCCTTTTTCTCATCTCTCGAGAAGACACTAACTCGTTGGGACTTCAGAGGGCTCGCAGAGGCAGGAGACAACAATTAGTTTGCTGAAGATGTCAGAAAGTAGCTTCAGAGTTTTGCCAGGAGAAATCCTTACTGACAGATCAGGGCTGACAATGTTGGCAGCTGCTTGAAAAGTGCCGCGCGCAGCCCGGCATCGCGGATCCAAGGAGGAAGGCCCCGCATCTGGCTCTGCCCTCAGAGCTGCGAATTCCTCCTGCCTCACCAGAATTATGTGGAGGGGGGAAGTTTTAAAAAGCCCTAGAGCTGAATGCTACCAAACATTTTGCTAAATATATTTTTAATAGTTAAATAAATAGAAAAATCTTAGTGTTGCTGTTACTTCAGATTTAAATCAGTGCCTAAATAAATCTCTAGAACCATTTTTAAAACCTTTCATGTACTGCACAGTGTCACATTTACTTTTCTATACGTAAAAAGATATGCTGCTTGGCACTTCACTCTATAGAACATACTAATTTTAATAAATCTTTGTAAGACCACCTTGATGTATGTTAAAGAGATAAAATACTCATGGTCTGAACATACTAAAATTCATCAAGCACTTTGCAGTACCATCCTTGAAATTATTTAACATTAAAATTTATTGCCTAAAACCTTTGCTTTAAGATTACCAAATGAGAGGCTCAAAGTGTTGCTTTTCTAATGTAAAGTAACTTAACTTTTCAAACATGAAGACATAAAATTGGCAATTTCTTGAAAGCTTTGAAACTAATAAAAAAAATCTCATTGCATTTTGGTAAATGTTATAAATACTAGTGTTTCCCCCCACCATGAAAAAAAATCAGAGGATAGATCTTTGTATAGCACAAAAGCAGTATTCTATGTTTTCGTAGCTTTGTAACTAATTACTTCTAAAAGGTGCATAATTTGGAATACTGTACTGTGTGTGTGCACATATGTCTATAGCATGTTAATTACATGTATGTGTTTTCATGTAAATTTATCCCTTTAGACTTGGTATCCTGGAAGTGTAATACAGCAAAGATTCTTTCCAGGCATTTTTTCTTTCAGAATGTTTCCCATATAGAACTAAATGTGAGCCTTCTCTATATTTTGAAGGAAGCTACATCAACCCCTGAGTCTTCTATTTCTGAAAAAAGAATATGAAGCGCTCGGGATAGACAGATGATGGGAGGTGGAAATGGGGCAATCTTAAACACTCTACAGTGAAGACTTCCAGGAAAGCCTGAGAGTTAAGAAGCCTGAATGCTACATTTTGTTTGGCCATCAATTAGTAAATGACCTTGAGCCTTTCTGGGCCCCACTTTCCTCATCAGTAAAATGAAGGGTTAATCAGGATGATCTCTCAAAGGACCCTTTCAAGAGACCTAATGTTATGATCATTCTCATTTGAAGCTAACGAACATAATGAACAAATTTAGCCAGAGTAAGGTCTCTAAAACAAAAACCGCTGCATACAAGAATGGCCAATGCCACTGTCTAAAATTTGAGGAGTGACTGATTATGCAGATCTGGGGGCACCCAACTTCTTTGATTCAGGTGGATGGCAGAAGAGCCAGAGAAGTAAAACTCATGTCACAGACTTCACTGCTGATCAACTACTCGAAAAAACTTGGGGAGAATGAAGTGAGAACTGGGAACGGAAATCGGACCGAGAGGTTCTTCTAGAATTTCCCCTGTTCCTACTGCTGCACATTATCATGGTATTAATATGGCTGCTAGGGAACAAGTGCATTGAACAGTTCGTGTTAACTCCACAGAAATAAATTACGTGGTCAAATTGTTCATTAAATGCATTAATCCAGTTGTAAAGGACCGGCATCATAGCAATAATTGCACTGTCATTTCAAAGCTTTTAAAAGCAAATCAATCCAAATTATATTAACTTGACGCATACCTTCCCAGCAGCAGTACTTTAGTATCCAATAGGAAATATGCAATAAAAGACAGCTTCCTATGTATTTGTAAAGCAGTTTGGAAGCCTTTTGCATGTTTGGCTACACCAGGAGTTTAAGGGATAGGACCAAAAAAAGCATCCTGGCTCGATAGGTTTCACCAAAGTTTTCCTCATTTAACTTTCTGAGCTAAACCATACCATTAACTTAACTTTACATACCTTCCTAATATTTGTCTCTAATATCACTGCAGTAAATAAAACCAGCACTTCAATCACAACAGTGAACAGAGTTCTACTGAGTAACAAAAACTCCCCGGCACAACTGGGGACTTTTAAAATGCAAGCACTCTAAACTTAGCTGCACCCCTGAGAGCCACAAATTGAGAGAGATTAATTCTGTGCCCCTGCACCCCTCATTACCAGGAGAGCTGAAGTAGGTCAAACACAAGTTAATCTCCTGAATTCCACTTTTGCTCATGGATATTAGGCCAGCCATTACTGTGTATTGGCTAATGTCTTTAAGCTACATGCATGCAAAATTAATAAACAGTGCGCCCAGCCAATAGGAAATATAAATACAAGTAAGTGCCTTGAAGTGATTTTACATAATGACACTGTCCATAACAGTAACTAAGGAAACTTACACACACGTGCTGCCCCGTGCCATCTAGAACCAACATGGGTGAAAACAATGAAAACCAATTACTCCAAGTTCTAAATTCTTCCCCAGTAAATAATAACACTGATAAAGAAATGTTAGTTCACCTAAATATCCATGCATCTTTAAATATGATCTGCCTCCACCCATCCTTTTAAAGAGCAAGACAAGACAAAACGCTCATGTGGAGGAGGATGAAGGTTTAAGCAAAGCAAGACTGCCATCACTCTGTGAAGGTATGATGTTTTTCATTCTTTAGGGGAGGGGGAAAAAAACCCCAGGCGTGCATGTCAGCACAAGGCTAGTAAAATCAGGACTCTGCTTGTCCAGGAGGCCTAGTAACGACCTAATTGCCTTACCTCTCTCCGACTGCAGCCGGGTCAAACCACTGCTATTCTATGTTCATTATGAACTGCATATTTTCAGGAGTGATAAATGCTGTAATTTCTTTGTAAAATTAAATGAACCATTGTCTTGCATTTTTAAGGAGCTCTTTGTTGGGTTGGTTGAAAATGCTGTCATATTCTAAGTTATTCCATTTGATCCTCCCCATAACCCCAGCTGGTAGGATTCAAATGATAGGAAATATTACCCTGGGTACTAGCAAGAAATATATTAAATTATTTAAGTTATGAAATTAACAACCAGAGAATCTGAATCTTAATCCTACCACGGTTACTAACCAGGTGACAAATTGATGCCATTTTACCTCAACAAGCACAGAAAAGAAAACACTCACTTAAATGACAGTTCGAAGAATGAAAAAATGCAAATCACTCTTAATTACATGAAAAAAAATTCTTCACCTCATTCTCAGAATAAGAGAACTGTGAATTAACAATACACTGAAACATCACTTTTTAAACCTGTCCTTGGCAGAAGTCAAATAATTTAGCAATATACCATGCTGGTGTGTAAGAGTAGGCAACAAGGTCCTTTCATACACTGCTGATGGGAGGGTTGGTTAGCACAACCATGCAAAATGGTGCATGCGTGCCCTGACTCACCGGTTCAACTGTATGGGAAACATACCCTTTGAAACAATTGTAAATGCACATACCCTCTGACTCCTCAGTTCCTGTCCAGGGTTTATCCTGTAGATGTTTCTCACACAGCTCCAAAATGTACCATGTAAAAAGTCATACATTTAACATTGTTTGAAATAGCTAATAACAAGAACAGTAAATTTTGGCGCATACCTTCGAAGGAATACTATACAGCAAGTAAAAATGAGGAAGTTCTTTAAATACTAATAATCTGCCAGAAAAATAGTTGTGTGAAACTAGCAAACTGCAGAATGGCATGTTCAGTGTATAACACATGTGTAAAAGAGGAAAGCAAAATATATGCATCTGTTTGTAAGTGCACATCATACAGCTAGAAATATACACAAGTATAACATTGGTTGTGCCTCTGGGAGGGAGGTGAGGTGATGGGAGAGAGGTGTGCATAGTTCATTAAATTTGTAAAAGAATTAGGTAGATATACAGAGACAGAAACACAGAAACATAGATCTATGTAAAAAGGCCTCTAAATTAGTAATGTAAAAATAAAGCAAATAAGTGAACATATAGGTACACTTTGCACAAAAAAGATTTCTTTCCACGTACATACAACATGTGTGTGTATGTGGTGTACACACACATTTTCATGTAAACTTTTTGGAACAATACGCAGGAAATTGTTGAAATTAAGGAGAAAATTGTCTCCCTGAGAGAGAAGACATACTTGGGCACTGCTTGAATTTCACCATGTGCATGCTTTCCTTTCATAATCATATCAACCACATGTAAAAGACAGAAACAGGGCAGGAGTAGAATTGACCAAAAGAAATCCATAAAGAAGTTATCTACCCTAAAATGGGTTAAAGTGACCTATAATAAAAGGATCCTATTACTCCTCCAGTCCCACCTTCCTTCTCATAATTCCAATATAGATGAGGCTACTTTGAAAAAGAAAATTCCAATTAGAAATTCTGTGTGGATGACGGCCCCTGAAAACCTAAGAGCAAGAGCTCAGGGAATGGATTTGTCTGGTTCGCCACATAAACGCCCAATAAATACGTGTTGACTGACTGACAGGCCCAATTGCTAAGCATGCTACAGAATATGTGCAAAATAGCCTGCTCAAGCAGTCTGCCATCCCATGAAGACATTTGATTCCAACAGGCCAGAACTTAATTGGAAAAATATGGGAAGGACAGGATGGCAAGACCATTCTAACAAAGTCCTCAAAACATGGACGGTTATTTCTCTCTGCTTTTCTACAGGGCATCTTCCCCACAAGACATTGAACTTTAAAAAAAATCATTCTACCAACAGAAAAAAAATTCTATTCCATATGCTTTGCCAAAGTTGCCCGAGAAGGCAGCGGTAGCTGCTGTGGGCTACGAAAGAGGGGGATACTGCAGGTCCTGTCTGTGCGCACACGTGCAGAAGGACCAGATGAGGTGAGTGCTCTCAGAAAAATTATATTTTATCCACTAAAGTAAAAAAGAGGCTGTTTCTGGGTGTGCAGTGTGAAAAACAGTCTCACTACTTTATAGTCACACCTCATAACATAATCCTGTAACACCTACTGACCCAGGATCTCCAAGAAAGGGATAGTGTTAATTCTATTGCACTTATGGGAAATTTGGGAAATACGTAGGCAAGATCCCCCCAGCCCTGAGGTTCTTACTCACAGCCTTGACCATGGTATTTCCTTCCTTATTTGATAATGAGTAGAATACACTCACACCTTTTCATTAGATTCTGCCTTGTTCTTCTTTGGGCACTAATACAACAAAGCAGTTCTTTTCAGATGAATGTTATGAACTCTGTAATGACTATCATTATTTATTTCATTGCATAAGTAAACATTTTATTATGTAGGCTCCCTTGCAGAAATCCAAAAGGAAAAAATGAGTATTTAAAGTCTGAGTCAAGGATTCATACCATTTACATATTGATGCCTAAGACATTTTCTTCTCAATCATTTCAAAAAATAGTATTTCTTCTTTAAAATACTTTAGTCAAATAATTCCCTAGACCAGAAGAAACTTTTTACCCTGGCTGAGCTATTGGGAACACTGTGTCGACATTACTGTTCAGGCCTACCTTCCCTCCCCTTCATGTCATATCCAGAGTATTTTTATTTTTCAAACTTTGAACCATTTAACTGCCTGCACGGTTAAAGCTATGATTGGTTGTTAACCACTTCTCTAAATACTTCAGGAGACTGCGAAACAGTAGAATTGCACTTTTTTTTTTACATCAATATAAAGTCATGTTCACCCCCACTCCCCTTCCTTCTCACCCCCTCCTTGCGCTCCCCCATGAATGTGTTTTTCTCCCTCACTTCTTAGACGCATTTGGTAACAATCAGGCTTTTATTTTAAGGAGCCCTAAGATAAGGTATCTGTGAGCTCCACACTTGGAGTAATTGATCACATTTGTTTCCTGTTCGTAGGTTAGACTCCTCACTCTTGCTCTTTTTTTTTTTTTTTTTAAACTTGGCATGTTTCTCATTACCCTCTGCCTTGTTAGCCCAGTAGAAATTTTCTACTGTGGAGAGTGAAAACAGGACGATACTATTACAAACCCCATCTACTCGGTGACAGCAGCCCTTCTCTTTGGGAACTTCTGGCCACTTCACGCTTTAGTGGGGAGCCCTCCTATGGATACAGGTATGCTGGCTTGTAACTGAGGGAGGCTCCGTGACATCCGCTTGGTGTTCACATGTTTAATGTTCACACTGTGCTGATTCATACCGAGACTGTTCCCCGGGATGACAACATTGTTATCATATGACTCAAACGGCCCCACCTCATTTCACTTGGGAATGTTAGCTCAGGTTCAATAAGTGTCAGCTGCCAATTCTGAAAAAGAAGACCTGTATCTTTCCCGTTTATGCTTTCCAGATAAATTGTAATCAGTAGCATTTTATTGACCCTGTCAGGTGGGGCTTAATTTCAGATATTGTCTAAGGAAAGAAAAATGCAGAAATCCGAACAATCAAGTTTACTCTTTGGTGTCTGTGGGCCCATGAACAGGAGGCCAGGGTTCAGCCACTCTCCTGTCGTGGCTTCAACCACGACAAAGCAAGAATTCTGGTAACTCAGTGTAAAATGAAGTTGAAGCCCTGCCTTTCTTTTCCCTTTTTAGGATAATATTTATAAAAATATGAGAGATTCTAATAAAGTGATATAAAGTTCATGAAAGAAACCTTAACAAATAATCCTTTACCTAAATGGTACTCCTTCAATATTTCAAGTTTTAAAATTGTCTTTTTTTTTTTCAACTTTTAAAATGATCTTCTTAATAATGCCAGTTTGTCTGGTTGGTTGGTTGGTTTAGGGCTCAATTGTTCTTACATGTCACCATATTCTAGCGCTTGCAAAACAGTCAGCAAAAGCAGCATATTTTAATACAATTCAAAATAAGCCAAGATTCAGGAGGAAACTTGGAATCTGGCCCGAACTCCACCCCCTAAAGTAGTTAGGTGACCTTGGGCAAGTAGCTGACCTTCCCTGACCCTTAGTGTCCTCATTTATAAGATGAGGAGGCCGGGCCATATGGCCTTCACGGTGGCTTTCAGGGCTCACACTCTGTGATAACTAACATTGACCTGAATCACAGTGTGATAGATTGAGTCCTCAGGATTTTCTAAGATGTCAAATACAGTAGCTGCTAGCCACATGTGGCTACCAAGCACTTGAAGTGCAGCTAGTTGGAATTAAGATGTGTTATAAATATACACACCAGATTCCAAAGACTTTAGTGCCCCAAAAAGACTAAATATTTCAGTAATAATTTTTACATTGGCTCCCATTTGGGAATGACAATACTGTGGATGTATTGGTTAAGTAAACTATATTATTAAAAATTAATTACCCCAGTTTCTCTTTTTCTTTTTATAATTGCAACTACTAAAAAATGTTAAATTATATATGAGGCTCATGTTATATTCCCATTAGACAGTAATGAAATAAGGGGTCCATGACTATGTCTTTACTGCAGAGCCAGGGTTAAAATGGAAAGAATCTGAAATACTTAATTCACAGAGGGCCTGTAATGATAAAAGAGCAACCAGTTGTCCTCTGGATAAAAATACACAGGTCAAAGCCATACCTGAAGCAGCCACACTACTGAAAAAAAGAGCATGAAATGTTGTTATAAAGTAGGTTTGGTAATAATGCAGTACTAGTAATCAACATAAAACCTAATAGTTTAAAAATGCCTCCAAACCCATAGCTTAATTTTCTTATCTAATCTGGTTTATATTGTCAAACACCTGAATTATTTGCCCATTAGTAAAAAATTATAAAAATATTAGTGAAATGATTTTTTGGAATTATAAATCATTTTTTGTTTCTTTAGATAGATGCATCCACTTTATCTTGTGAATTCCTTTGCTAGGGAATTTCTGAAGAACTGAGAAGAAAGAGCAAATTTTTACATATTTTTGCCAACAGGAATGCCTAGATAATCTAGATTATTAAGGAAAGAAAAAAAACAGTTTCATCTACACAAAAATGTGTACACATTTGCATGATAGCTATTTCAGTCAATAGCTATTATTTTGTGTTTGAAATGACAGAGTTAGGCCTCAGTGTATTTATAAAATCATGTATCTCTCTAGGAGGTACAGATACAAAACAAATGTTCACTATAGTACAGTGAAACCTAACCCTTAAAAGAAGCATTATCTGTCCCACACTAAAGTATATCCAGTTATTATCTGAAGTGAAAGGAACATTTTACAATTCACAGAAAAACAGGCACGAAATAAATAATTACAAAGCTGATTACTGTCATTTTCTCTGATAGTCAAATGTTTCTCTGGTAAAAATAGGCAATCTGATTTTTATCATCCTTTCTCAAGTATTTGCATCTTTGTCCATCCCCAGAACCTGACACCTAGTTAACCTATTGCAGGTAAAAGCTTTTGAAGATCTACTACTACTCTTGTCCTAATAAGGTCGCTGACCTTTCAGGCTCAACCACAGCTCACCCCCTTCTTCATTTCCTCTCCTATCATTAGTCTGAAATGGCATCAGCCGCCTCTCAATTTTCTTCATCTCTTCAGTGCCCCACCTTTTAGTCCAAATTCACCTAATTAGGAACTTAATTTCCTTTTTTCCCTGATTGAAGAATTGATAGTGGACAGATCCCATTCATCTCTGAATCACGGAAAATTGCATTGATGACTTCTTATTTAGGAATGTTAAGCGTTTATTTTATTCTAGAAACTGTTGGGTGGAAGCCAAGCTTCTCCAAAAAGTATCTTTTTCCAACCACAGAACTAAGCAAATGTAAGTGTTGTTTTTGGATTTGTAACTACAATGGGAAAAGGAGAATCATTTAAATCTAATAAATTTTACATTTAATTGATATTTCATTTTACACAGTCATAGTTACTTATATTTACAACAAGTAGATTTTCCTGTAAGGTGTCAAATAACTGAGTTCTACTAGAAGATCACTGGACTGCATTTAAAGTGATATCTCAGGGGGTTAGGTTAATAATTCCTTGAAGCTGGTCATTGTTGGCAAAATTAAACAAAGAATGTGTTACACCAGCAATGACACATATGGGCTGGATATCTACAACCAGGTAGGAGTCACATATTAAAGTGAGCAACTGGGCAATACCTAACGTTCCTAGAAATTACCTCTTTGACTTTAACATTTAGCAGTTGAGTTTCCTACTTAACAACTCAAAACACATACATAAAAATATCCTCCCCGAGGCATTCTATGACCTTAAAAGTCAATGGTAGAAAAAGAAATCAATCCAATAATTTTATTCTATTGCTCAACTGAAACATTTAACGTCTAATTTCAAGTAGGAAAAAATCATCAACATCATTATAAGACTTGGAACTGATAGTCATAGTAAATGGCACAGACAAGCCAACTTCATGTTATCCAGTTGGTACCTAAGCCCATACTCAGGGTATTCTTCCATAGGGCGTCAGAGCGAGTCATTTCACCAGCATTTATCTTAAGACAAATCTGTTCAGTGCGGATGAGAATCAGTGAAATAGATGACTGAGAAGAAAATGCAGTTTCTTTTTTTTTTTAAGTCTTTTTCAAGCACATGGTCTCAGTGCTCCCTGCTGTCTCGGGTGGGCCATTTGAACCGAATGAGGGCCTAGGCTTTGATATCTGGGCCAAAACTGTGCTGATGTGATCTAGACTCTCCCCGCGAAAGGGAAGCGATAGTGTCGATTTTATTTTATTCCATGAAGTTAGACTTTCTTCTTATGAAAATAAAAATGACAAAACGAGTTGTCGAATGTTGCTCTTCCCCCCTCACTGAATGATGCATACCACATACGCCCTTAGCATGTTCGGGGCTTAGCTATTTGTAAGAGACAGTAACAGCCAGAACAACTTCAAATTCAGTCCGCAAAAAAAAATTTTTTTCTAGGATAATGAAATAGAAAATAAAAACAAAAGCATG